GACTGAGAGAAGCGCAAGGAGCCCAGGAGGCCACATAATCTACTGGTACCTCAATAAGAATGTCCCTTCAACACTCATTACTTAAAGAGGACTCTTCTAACCTTTGCTTGAAGTGTCTAATGACGGGGTAACCCACCTTCTTCAGGGGCAACTCATCCTACTTCTGGATATATCTAGAGCCTTTGAGATGGAGGAAACTTTGGGAGTTGTGCATACCAACTGGTTTTTCAACAAGAATTCCCACTAGATCTCCAATAAAGGATCATTTAGCCTTGGTTTAAACACCTTCTATGAAGGAGAACCTGTTAGCTACTGAGGTACTCTATTTCATTTTTAGATCATTCTCATTATTAAGAGATTTCCCCATCTAGAATCAAACTTTTTTTGGGGGGGGCATCAGCAATTGGGGTTAAGTGACTTGCCTATCATCACACAGCTAGTAAGTGTCTGAGGTTGGATTTGAACTCAGGTCTTTTCGACTCCAGGACTGGTTCTCTATCCTTGAATCAAACTTATTTTGCCTCTCTCCAACTCTTGCCTCCTACCTCTGCCTTCTGGGGCCAAGTAGCATAGACCCAGTTCCTCTTGGATGTGAGAACCCTTCAAATACTTAAAAAGTGCTATCATGCTCCTCCTCCGTCTTCTCCAAGTTAACCACACCAAGCCCTTTCACCCCATCCTCCATTCTCATATGACACTGTCTCCAGCTCCCTTTCCATCTTTTCTGTCTCTTCTGGGTATGCTCCAACTTGCCAATGTCTTTCTTAAAAAAATGTCAGTTGTAGTCAGCATACATTTATTAAGTGCCTACTATGTGCCAAGTACTGTACTAGGTGCTGGGAATACAAAGAAAGGTCAAAACAAAACAAAAAAGCTCAGTCTCTGCTCTCCAGGAGCTCATATATAATGGACACTCTAATACGACATTCAGAACTGAACATAGCAGTTGTTCAGATGCAGGTGGCCTGACTAAGGAAGAATATTCCGTCACTTCTTATGGTGGACTCTACTTCTTTCATGCAGCCTTGGACAGCATTAGTGTTTTTGGCTGTCATATCACATAGTTGCCTCATTTTAAGTTTACAGCCCACTTAAATCCACAGACCTTTTTTTTTTTTTTGGTAGAAACTATTATTTATCCATACTTCCCCCACTCTGTGGAGGGAACTCTCTACTCAGGGAAGTTGACTTTTGGAATTCAAGGGTAGAACTTGGCATTTCCAGGAACACAGGAAGGACTTGATTTTCTCAGTTTAGGGAATACCTTGCACCAATCTAGATCAGATGGCAGATCAAACCTTGAGACATATAGAAGGTACATGACTTGCCCAGGGTCACCAAAAATAGTAAATGGCAGAGGTGGCATAGGCCAAGCTGCCTGTTTCACTTTTTCCCTATTAAATGTCATGTCATGTTATTTAGTTCATGCTCCTACCATCCAGTGTGTTATCTATTCTTCCAGATTCTAGTTATCAGCAATTTTTTTTGAGGCTTGGTTAGGGTTCACACAGCTAAGAAAGTGTCTGAGCACAGATTTGAACTCAGGTCCTCCTAACTCCAGGGCTGCTGTTCTATCCAGTGCTCCACCTAGCTGCCCCCATCCGCAAATTTGATAAGTATACCATAGTTGTAAAGTTTAGACTTTATACCAAGTCTTTAATAAAAATGTTGAGCTGGAGGTGGAGGGGAAGGAAAAACCCTCCCTCTCTCAATCTCTTCAGTTATCTATTCTCTGTCTCTTCAGTAGGCAAATGGGTGGGGCGTCCTCTACAGGAAGAATCAAGATTGAACCAGACTGAGTTATCAAAAATCCTATTTCAGTTCTATGCCTGGAAGGGGCCTGTGGGAAAGGTAGGGAAAGATGAGGGTGGGAAGAGATGGGGAGGTTTTTATCTAGGTCTTGACTGAGATCAGGGAAGGATCCTTCAGAAGAAGCCTATCAATACAGGATTAGGACTCAAATTGGAGTCAGTCACACAGAGGCTGTCTACACTACCTTTGCCTATAAATGCACGAGGGAGAAGGAAGTCTTGAATCCTGGAAGAAGAGGCAGAGACGACTGTTACATAATACTTATGAATGGAGAAGAATTGCTTCTTTTCTCCCCTCCGCAGATGTCTGCAGCTGGAATGGGGGTAGGGTGAGAATTAGACTAAGGCTCTACTCCATCCTCCTGAGACGCAGAAGTTTCTGTTGGAGTCACTGAACCTTAGAGAATGTCAGATCTGGAAGGGAACTTGGAGGATCATTAGTCCAAGGGTTCTTAACCTGGGCTCTGTGAACTTAAAAAAAAAAGTATATTTGATGACTGTATTTAAGTATAATTGATTTCCCTTTTAATCCTATGTATTTTATCACATGTATTTAGAAAACATTATTCTGAGAAGGGGTATAGAGGCTTCACCACACTGCCAATGGGGTTTTACACACACACAGACACAGACACACACACACACACACACACACACACACACACACCCACACCCACACCCCTAACTCCTATCTAGTGCAATCCCTTCATTTTAAAGAAAGATAAACTGAGGCCCAGAGAAGTTAAATGACTTAACTAGAACCTATGTGTCCTCATTAAAAAAAAATACACTCTTTTACACTTTCCTGGGCCATAATTCCATATAAAATTCCCTCAATCACTTTGAGTCTTCTGGGGGGAAGCCAGGGGAAGGGGCCTTTGACTTTCCTCCCCAAGAGAAGCCAATACCCATTTTAAGCTCTATCTGGGAGAGAACTGATAGTGAGTAAGTAACGGCTTCATGGGAGGCAAAATTAGAATCAAGCCCTTCAGAGACTCCTGTTCGGGGGATGGTAGGGCAACAATATGTGAGCACACGCTTCTGGGAATGTCACAGAGAGTGGGTGAGTCTGGATTTGCAAGGGTATGTGCATATAATTCTATGTATGCAAGAATATGGGTGTGTGATTGGGTGCCTGATCAATGTGTAATAGTGTCACCGTGTATGTTTGACTATGGAAGAATTCATACAGTTAGAACAACTTGTATTTATATTCAGCACTACACTTTAAAGCTACTTTGAGGTTAAGTATTAACAATCCTTTTTTTTTTTTTTTACACTAGAGGAAATTGAGGCTCAAAAGAGCTTAAAGGACTGGCCACAAGCTAGTAAGTGGCAGATCCTAGTCTCAAGCTCATATTTTCTGATTCCATGTCTAGCAATCCTTCTATTAGGCCGGGATGCAGTTAAAGAGTTACAAAGAGTCATGAGATGGAGAGCTGGAAGGGACCCTGGACATCATCTAATCCAACCCTTTTGGATTAAAAGGGCAGTCAGTGACTTACTTGCCCAAGGTAAGTAATAGAATCAGGACTCAAATCTAGTTGCTTCAGAGTAAAAACCAATGCTCTCCACTACAACCTGTTTCCTTTCTGTGAATGAATGCGTATGTTTTGTGCATTTGAGTGTGTGTTTCCTCATGGCAGACACTCCATTCTATACATCCTTCACTGAATCCCCAGGCTGATGGGGAGAATGCACAGAGTTGATATAGGAGAACCCAGAACTGATCTCTGATGATGCTTCCTCCAGTCTCCCTTTTTACAGAATGGACACTAGAGGTGAGGTGGGTGCACCCCCACTCAACCAATAACTTCATCTCCTGGTATTGCAAAGGGAAGAGGGGAATGATTCTCCTTCACTCCCATCCAGATGTTGTTGGGGAACACCTGAGGAAAACAATGCTCTGATTGTTTTCTCAATTCAAGGTGGCAATCCAGGCACTTCCTCTTCCTGCATACTGACCTTCCCCCCCCCCCATTTATTTCTTTAGTAGAAGATAAACTTTTATGTCTCTCCTCTCATTTTCATTCCTGTCCTGATACTCACGTCCCTTTGATTACCCCAGGACAAGCTTCATTCTAACAACTGGATTTCGGTTCTATGGGAAGTGGCCCAGAAAGATTTCAGTACAATTCTATTTTACTGAGTTTACTAGAAGTCTGTTTCCTTTCGCTTGCCTCTCCTTGAGGAGGGGAGTTAAGACCACCTCCAATGGTTTCTTCCTCCACACCTCACGATCCATTTTTCGAGTTGTAGAGAGAGGAAAGCTTCTGCCAAGATCCCCTCCTTTCCACAGTGTTCAGGGATGTAAGAATACCAATTCCCCATCCCCCATCCTTCATGTTTGAATAGAGATGCCCATCCCCAAAGACTCCCACTATGTTTCTGGAGAAGGTGGAAGTGGGTAAATGGACAGGCTAAAGACTCCCTCTCTCTTTTCCACAGAGACTCCACCCCCTAACCCCTTGTATAGTGAGGACATTGAGGATAAATCCTACCAGAATTCCTTCTGTCCCAAGGAGTATTTCAGGACCATGGAAGGAGGAAACCTGGGAACCTTAAGAAGATTCTCTCTCCAAGCCTCAGTTTCTTTTTTGACAAAAAGAGATGGTTGAACTAGAAGATTTTTAAGGTCCCTTCTAGCTCTAAGTGGAGGTGGTGGAGTGGCCCAGGATTTGAAATGGAACCACTTAGCTACGGGTTTTTGTATACAAAATGTAGATAAAGCAATGAAGGCAAAAAAAGCAGAGAGGAAAGGGAATTGTTTGTCGGTCTACCCCATCAAACTATAGACCCGATCTTATTCATATGTTTAAAAGTATCCAGATTCGGACACACACATTCCTTACTTCTAGGGTTCACACACAAACACACTGCTGGGCACATTCCCACACTTTCACACCCAGTCACCCACACCCAGTGTGTGTGGGACACATATTTACACGAAACACATACGAAGAGATTCACATTCACACATTTACCCCCCTTTCCCCCCTCCGCTGTTAGGTTTCCACGTGTGTGTAGGTCTATCAGTGAAAAGGGGAAGGGGTGGGTGGTGAAAGGGGCGGGGGTAGAGGGACTGAGCTGACGTCACGCCTCCAGACCACCCAATCAGCTCCCGGCTCGGAGCCCCAGCTCTGGTATTGGGGGAGCCAGGGGGCAGTTCTCTATAACGCGGTCCTCAGGAGCTGGCCGGGAAGAAAGGAGCCCAGCAGAAGGTACCGCCAGCGGGAGCCGAGGACTGGGAGTGCGGGGGAGCCTGGGAACTTCCCCGCCTTACTCTCCAGCCGCTTTGTTTCCCCAGCCTCTGCGCTCCTGGCTTCTCTAGGGGGGCTCCAGTCTTGGCTGGGGTGAAGGCGGCTAGAGGAAGGTTTCCTTCTTCCCCCTTCCGGGGCGTTGCATCATGCCCCGATCCTCTGACCGGGTGACTGTCTACGCCAAGACTCGCGGAGGACCCAGGAGTTCGGTGGCCTGGCTGAACATGTGAGCAGACGAAAGAAAGGGCAAGAAGACAAGTCTAGGGGATTGCTGGGAAGCCGGCGGGGGACGCCCCAAAGAAGAGACCTCCCGTCGAGGGAGGGGCAATGTTCTCTTTTTCTGCGGGGCCTTGGGGAAGCGTGGGTACCAGACCAGTGAGAAGAGGACCTTCCGTGTGGGTGACCCTCCAGGCCTCTCCATGGAGACCCTACGCCCCGCGTCTCGGCCAGCCGTCCAGGCCGTCCCCCGGGCATCTCCGTGTTCCCCTGCACCCCGGAAACCACGCCGGGGCCCCCAAGAATTCTCTCCTCTTTGCCTGCGCGCCCTTGCCTTCTGCGCCCTCGCCAAGCTGCGGGCCCCCCAACTGGGCCTCGTCCGCGGGCTGGAGGGAGTGGCCGGGGACAGTGGTTTGGGGGAGCTAGGGCCTCGGGCGTCAGTGCTCGTGGGCCCTCTTTGCGGGGGCAGCCGGGCCCGGGAAAGCCTAACTTGGCTGCCGGCTAAGCCCGGTACGTCGGCTGGCTATTCTAGCGATTCGGATTCGACCAGAGCCGGCGACTTTTCAGACGGCGAGGACTTGGGCACCCGGGTGCCGAGTTGCAGCAGCGAGGAGGAGGAAGATCGTGCACAGCCAAATATTTGCTTTCGCAGGACCGCACTAGCCTGCCCAGCTCTTCCTCCGCTTCGGGATTCCCCGTCGTCTCCTGCGCAATTCACCCCTAGTTTGGTCCCGCAGCTCAGTACCTCGTCCTTCACCACCGCCATTCTGCCCCGGGAGTCCAGTCCTCAATTGCTGCCTCCTCCCCTGTTGCCTTCTGACCCCCAGATTGGCCAGCGGAAGCTGGGAGCCCCGGGAGTGGAGTCCCAGCAATTGCCCCTTAACCAGAGGAACGAGGTCAAAGCTGCCTCCCCCGAGGACATTTCACCCTCTGTGCCCTCTGAGACATCAGACCCTAGCCCCGAGACTGCTGCGGCCAGTGGAGCTCCGGCCCCCTCGGAAGATCCCCGGAGGGAGCATTTCGATCGCTTAATTCGCCAATCGAAACTCTGGTGTTATGCTAAAGGCTTCGTGCTGGACGGGCCGAGTTTGCGAAGAGTGTCTGACCGTCCAGCCTCGTCCCCAACGAAAACCCAGGCTGGGGGACCAGTAAAAAAACGCCGGCGGCCCGTAACTCCCCAGCGCAGCGCCCAGGCTCGCCGTCTCCCGGCGTCGCTCCCGACCAAAAGCTCCTTCAGCCTCCTAGGCAGCTTTCCCTGTCCTCCAGCTCTGGTGGTGGGAGAAGACGGGGACCTGAGGCCCGCATCCTCGCTAAGGCTTTGTGGCTCCTCCCGACCGCCCCCGGCCCACCCGCTGTGGAGATGGCAGCTAGGAGGACCCGCCATCCCCGAGCCTCCCAGCCTCAAGTTCTGGGGGCGCACACTGGAAAGGCTCTGAATGGGGAGAGTTTCCCCACATTTTTTTCCTGAAAGCGGGGAAGTTGCAGGGGTCTGCTCGTCTGGAGAGGGTGGGCAAAGAGCCCAGAGAGCCAGACAGCTTCTCCAAACTCCTGCTCTTCGCTGGGGATCTCCAAGTGTGCCAGGGAGCCTGATGGAGTCAAGGTGAAGTACCCAGCTATCTCTCCTACCGCACCCCAGCGACACCTCATCTTTGGGGGAGAGGAAAAGAAGCCGGAACAGGCACGGAGAGCGTAGTTCCAGCTCTGGGCTCTTCTTTCTGGCTTGTAAGGGGGTGGGGTGCGGGGGACCGCCTCGGGAAAACAGCTCAGAGTTATTTAAAGGAAAGACCCCGGAGATGAAGAAAACACTTCTGTTCCAGTGAGAGAACAGAATGGGGCGGGGGCTGGAGAGGCAATCTGTAGCTAGAGGTGACGGAAGGGGGATCGATCCCCCCACTACCCCGCCTCCAATTCGGGGACTCCTGGCACTTTAACTGCCTGCATCCTTTCCCCTCCCTCTCCTTCCCAGGTTTTTTCTCTTCCTTCAACCCCCATTGGACAAAAGTAGCAAAACTCTGTAACAGCCAGTTTGGGGAACTGGGAGGCCTACACCTCTTCATCTCCTTCCCTAACCCTCAGCTCAGCAACACTGGTGACCCCAACCAGAGAGACCCCTCTCTTTCTAGCAACCATTCCCTGCCCCCTCCTACATCTGTTTTTTGTTTTTCCCTATCATCACTGTTTTCCTCTTCCTTTGGGGGATTTCTCAAATAGGGGAGAGGGGGAGGTTGCTTGGGAAGCTAGATCTCCCTCCACCTCCCCCGCCCCCAATCCTGGAGTGTGTATGGGGAGGGAGGGTGTCAAAGGGAATTGGAAAGGATTGGAAAAACAAACTGTTCGGGGGCTAGGCTCTGCTTCTGAAGGGGAGGGGGAAGCCCCCCCTTCCCAATCTGCAGACTTTGAGGAGGGGGTGAGAGGCTGTCTCAGGGAAAGCAATGGATGGATGAAGAAATCAATAAAATCTAGACCAAACGAGTTGCCTTTCGAGCTTCCTATGCACAGGTTTCTGTACTTGGAGCTGGGTGGGAGGTGGGGGGGGGGGAGTTTAGATGCAAAAGCTGTCCTGGGCCTGTTGAAAGTGATGGAGATCCTTGAGGGTGGGTCAGGTCGAGCCTGGAGTTGGGGTTGGGGGGTGGTGGTGGTGAGATACAAAGCCAAGCAGCTCTTGAGGGAAAAAACAGGAGAGACCTTTGCTGGGCAAATTGGGAATAAGTGGTTGATTGTTTCCAAATGCTTGAAATAGTGAAGGTTGGAGGGTGAACGGAGAGCTCATTAAAGCAAACAGAAAAGACCCCTCTGCCTGCTCCCTTAGCGGAGTAGTCAGAGAAGGGCACTTGGGGGTATTTAGCTGGTTGTCAGAGATCTCTTGATGGATCAGAGGAGGGAGGAGCCCAGGGATTAGGTTTGGGGTCAGAGGCACTATTTACACAGAAAAGGGAAAGTGGAGAGATAAGCCAGACCTGTTCTGTTACCACCCACCCCTCACCTACATGGGAGCCACTGATCCCCCAGAATTTTACCAGCTCGAGAATGGAGAGAAGACAATAGGGTCTCAGAGGCAAGGAAGAACCTACTAGGCCAGTGAAAAGGAGTTGCCTCCTTCTTGGCTCCGGTTGGGATTTTCAGTATGACAGAGGGTAAGGTCTACTCAACAACTCCAAAATTCTGGGTCCTCGAACTTGGACTGAGTCCACTGAGTCACCTTGCTCCTGCTCCAAAGAGCACATTAGGAGCACCAGTTTTTTTTTCTTTTTTCAAAGAAGAAATTGCAAGTCGGGTTCTTTGGTGGTGGTGGTAAGTTTGTAGTTGAAAGTGCCTTCACCCATTTTTCCAGCAGAAGAAACTTGGGGAAGGCTCCCCCCCCCCACTTACTTATGAGTAGGGCAGAGGACAGACTTTTGGAAAATTACCTTGGGCCACAAAGGGTTTTTTGTTTTTAAAAAAATCTATGACTCTCTTTTCCTCTGTTTCTTTTTTGTTGTTGGGGGTGGGCAACGGCTAGGCATAGTTCTCCCTTCAACATCTGGCCCTATGAACCCTAGTGACCTTCTCTTAACCAGCTGTATTTTGGAGAAGAGATATGGGGTTGGGGGGGGAGAAAGGGAAAACAACCAACTGCTGATTTTCTTTTGGAATGACCATCTATTGGGGGGAGGCGGGGGATGGCTGGTGACAACGAGGAAAGAGGAATGAGGGAGAAATAGGAAAATAAGTGATTGAAGAGAATGGGAGTAGGGGAGGAAAAGAGGTAAGCTGGGAGAGACAAAAGCAGGAGGAATTGGGAACTAAAGGTGAAGGAATGCTGTTAAGAAAAGGGGAGAAGGAGAAAGAAAGGTGAAGAGGGGTGGGTGGTGGAGGGGGTTGGGGGGGGCTAACCTTCTTTCACTTGGTAATGTGGCCTGTGTCACAAAGCTCTCTCGGCCCACCAGAAGTAACAGGAGATGGGGGATGGGGGTGGGGGAAGGGTGGATTAAGGAAAGAAATACTCATTTCAAACCCTCTTTCCTCAGAGGAGCTGAGAGTCAGTCCCATTAATTGAGCTCCTAGGCTCCCTGGAGGAAAAGGGTGGGTGAAGTAAAAGAGATAAGGGTGGGGAGGGGAGAGAACTCTACTTAAGTTTAAATACTGCACTACAAATACCTTTCAGTCTGCTTGGGGAGAATCACTGAATGCATTATGAGGCTTGGGGAAGCAGGAAAGGTGTGTGTGTGTGTGTGTGTGTCTGTGTCTGTGTCTGTGTGTGTGTATGTGTGTGTGTGTGCTTGTATGTTTGGGGAATGTTGGGAGAAGATGGAACATTTCAAACATTGGAGGTCACCAATCTGCTTGAATTCTAACAGCCAAGTAATGGAGTGGAGAAAATCAGATGCTCCCCTGTTAGGACATAGGCTTAAGGCCTTGGATGAGACCGTTCTTTTTTCCCCTAAAAGTTGAGCTTCAGCTGCAGGGCCACTCCAAACAGTCACAAACATAATAGCCTAGGAAGAAAAGACTAATAACTATGTGAAACAATCCCACACCACAGGAGGGCCCCAGAGCTGTCCGGCAAGTTCTTGATATGTGTGTCTATCTGGATTTTAATGTCACAGCACCTCTGTTTGCGTGTGTAATGAATGAGGCAGTGCTACCATGAATGTATCCCTGTACCTACCTTTGGGTGTTGGTTTGACTCTATCTTTCTTCATCTCTCTGTCCATATATTAGTTAAAACATTGTGACACTTCATGTCTTTCTCTTAGCCAGGCAGCTAAGTGGTGAAATGGATAGAGTAGGCCTGTATCAGGAAGGCCTGAGTTCAGATCTTATTAGCTGCGTGACCCTGGGCAAGTTACTTAATCTCAGTTTTTTTATCTGTAAAATGGGTATAATAACATCTACCTCCCCAAGTTGTTGTGAAGATCACATGAAATAATATTGGTAAAGCTCCTGGCACATAGTAAGTGTTATATAAATGTTAATTACTATCAGCAAGATAAGTTCAAATGTGACCTCAGGTCCTTATTAGCTTTGTGACCTTGGACAAGTCAACTTAACTTCTATTTGTCTCAGTTTCCTCAACCATAAAATGAGGAGCATAATAGCATCTACCTTCTAGGGTTCTTGTGATAAGATTGTGATAAGATTATCTCGAGATAAGATTTGTAAAATGCTTAGCCCAGTGCCTGGTCCATAATAGGCACTGAATAAATGCACATTCCCTTCTCTTTGTCTCTCTATGTCTGCCGTTCTCTCTCTGTTTCTTGATTTCTGTGCCTGCTATATAAAGTGCTTATTAAATGCTTTCTCTGTGCATTTCTGTTTCTGTCTTCTTCTGTCTCTTTCTTTACTCTCTCACATTGCCATTGATTTAGACATGTGACTCTTCTTGGGTTATGTCATTTATTCAGCAAACATTTATTTCTTCATGTTTTCTTTTATACTCAGGGGCTTTCCCACTGTGGGAAGGGAACTACTTTCTCGGTACAGGTCTCCTGCTGCACCTTGGGGATAATGAACTGTTCTCTCCTTCCTTGTTTAAAAAAAAAAGACCCAGGAGTCCCTACCCTGCTTCTCTCCTTTCTCATCCCCACCCTGACATCCCCTGCTGAATATCCAGAGATCTCTCCAGTCAGAGCTGGTCCAACACCTGGCTTCTTTTCCCTTCCTCCTCCTCCTGTCCCCTCCTTTCCTGTAATCCTCCATCTCCTGGGACCGCTCCCTCTGTCTCCTTCCTCCACCTCAGTGCCTGGGTCTCTCTTGTCTCTTTTTACTTATTTCACAGTTAAATCCCAGACCAGAGCTCTGGCAGAAATGTACAAAGTCTTATTATCATGATGGATAACATTGGATTGTACCTTATCTTTATTTAAAACACAATGCGCAATTTAGCTTGCTATGAGACGGAGAATTCGGCTTATAACTCTGATGTAGTCCTACAGCTGTCCACTAGATGGCAGATTTTCCCCAGAGCCAGAGAGATTGCCTGAGGGATTCTGGCTTGGACAGCGTTAATCAACCAATATTTACGATATTGAATGTTCACTATTCACAAGGCAACTTGCTCTTCACCTTCTCGGAGCTTACAATCTAATTGAGGAGTTGAGACATACATTATGTACTTAGAGTCTTACCTCCTCCATTCACATGTCAAGTAACTGATCAATTCACTACCCTCTATAAGGTCCAGCATTCTTATAAAAGGGAGATGGATGCATACTGTGGTTGTCAATGGATCCCCCTCGCACCCTCCTCCACCCTCACTCCAGGCTGCATGTTTGAGATGCACACTAATTTGCCACATTAATACATCAATGATTTAAAGTGGCAGACATTTGTGAGGTTGGGCACCCTGCTAGAAAGAGGACAAAGTTTGCCAAGCTGTAGCCAGACTAGAGGCAGGAGGTTGAATTCGATGACTTCTTGAGGTTCCTTCCACCTGTCAGGTCAATTTTCGTAGTTAGGATCCAGATGAAGGTTGTGTTCATTAGTTTCAGTGTGTTTGATCAGAGACTGAAATAGAAATCATCTGCTTAGGAGTGTACGGTTGGCACATATGCCACCCAGTTTTCCCCACTTTCCTAATCTGTCCCTCATTCTCCCTCTTTTGCCTGTCTGCTCCTCCTCTTGTTTATTGTTCTCTCGTCTTTCTGAAATACAACCTCCCCTTCCCACAGTCTCTCACTCTCTTCCTCTCTCTGGCCTCCAGTTTCTCTTCTCTTGGTTCTAGTTTCTTTCTTCTTTCTATTTTAATCTCCCTTTTATCTATTCCTGAGTTTCTCCACTCAATCCCTTTTTCTTCTGTCTCTCAGTTTCTCTCTCTCTCTCTCTCTCTCCCCCCCTTTCCTCCCTCTCTGTCTCCCTCCCCCTCTCCTTTTCCTGCCTCCCTTCCCCCCTCTGTTTTCTTCTTTCTCTGTCTCATTTTTTCCTCTGTCTCTCCTTTCTTTGACCTTCTTTCTTTTTTCTATCCAAGTCTCTTTCTTTTCTCTTTCCATCACTTTGTATCTGAAGCTTGATCTTCCTTCTCTCTGGTCCCCAATCTCCGTTCCCCTTTGTTCTTCAGTTTTCCTTCCCTTTCTGTTCTCTTCCTTTCTTTTTTCCCTCAGCCTCCTCTCTTTCTATCACAATTTTCTTTCCTCTTTATTCCTTGTTCCTCTCTCTGGCCCTCAGTCTCTCTTCTCTCTCTGACTCAGTCTCTTTCCTTCCCCTCTTACTCAGTCTGTCTGTGTATTTGTCCCTTAGAATCCCCTCTTTTTGGCCCCTAATCTCCTTTTCCCTCTGTCCTTTAATCCACCTTCCCTCTCTGTTCCATTCCTTTTTCTGTCCTTCAGTCTTTCTTTTTTTTGTCATACAATTTCCCCTCTCCTCTGTTTCTTACTCTCTTCTTCTCTTTGACCCTTAATTTCTCCCCTCTGTGTTCCAGACTTTTTCCTCAGTTTCCCCTTTTATCTGTTCTTCAGTCTCCTCTCTCAATCTCCTTTTCCTTC